AAATGGAGGTCCTAATTTCAACTAGTCTGAATGACACCAAATGGGCTAGGGTTGACTTTTCATGTTTAAATGGTTCAGAAAGATGAAGCCATGGAGCCTTAAGAGTCAAATCTTGTATGAACTACTTAGGTGCACCCCCAAGGAGTATTTGATTTGAACCTATTAAGCTAATTTGGTTAAAGTGTTCAAGGGGTCTAAATTAGGCTGAAATTCTTAGGTGTTAATGGTCACGTTAGAGGGAATAGCCCCATTAGGCCAATTAGGTGGAACCAATGGTCAATTAGGCTCAAGGGAAATTTCATTAAAGGTGATTGTTACATTAATTTATTCAAATGGGGTCAATTAGGTAAAAAAAGGGTAAGAGAATCCTAAAGGGTTAATTGGGCTAAGTTGGGTTAATGAACCTAATTAAATGGTAAATTGAGCTTAACTCATCTATGAGGTGTTCACTCAATTCAATTGGTATAGTTAATTTAAATCAATTTGTTCAAAATAACCAATTTGGTCATACAGGTTCATTTTGGTAAAATTAGTCTTCTGGCTAACTAAGTTAAATCAACAACCAATAGTACTCCAAAAGATCTAGTAATTAAAATAGTTTCGAAAAGTTAATTTGATTCAATTTGGTTGAAATTTTTAAATTGGAATATATGATTTTAACGGAATGAGTCAACTTTGGCTAAATGAATCAACTAGCCTATTAAAAGGTGAAGTAGGGATGATTCATTTATGGTTAACTTATTAAATATTTTCTAAGGCATAAAGGGAAATCACTTTTGTGAAACTAGTAAATTTGGTCTTATAAGGTCAGTAGGTATGTTTGGGTTCTTTGTCAAATGGTCCCATCAAATCTTACTAGGAGTTTATTTAACTCAAATAGCCTACTAATGAATTATTTGGAGCAATTCAAAAGGGTTTACCAAAATCAATTTGTTCTAATGTAGGATCTAGGCTCAATTGACCTAATTTAGTCATGTTGGGCCAATTGGGAATTAAAAAGGTTCTAGCTTACTCCAATGGTTAACTGTGGTTAAATAAGTTATAATTTTGTGGGCAGAATCCCATGAAAAAGTTATGGCTAAGTGTTTGGAAAATATTGTTAAAAATCACTTAATAAATCCAAAGGTCTAGATGATATTATGGTTGGTTTGGCTATTAACCAAATAAGGGATCAAAAGTTAAATCCATGAATCTTAAGGTTAATTATATTGAACAAGTACGTAATTGGGCCAATGAGAAGAAAATGAGTGCTTACGCCACTAATTAGATTTACATAGGTCTCTACTTAGGGATAAGCATAGAAAAAGGTTTGTCCTATGGCTAGCTAAGGCCAAAAATATATGAAGAGAAGAGAATTGAATTCAAGATAATTTAAAATTGAATGATATAATGAACTCCTCCCGTGGTCTTTTTAAGTTTAATATGATCCTATAGTTATTTTGAGATTAAATCCTATTCATCTTATACTATTGGCTATTGTAGGGTTTCATCTATGTTAAGATAGGAAAAAACATATGAGACTGATCTTGTCTTATAGACATCCATGTAAAGAGGAATGCTTCAAATATCTCTAGGAACAAGCTAGTTGTCCAAGTAAGGGAATTGAATTGTTCAATTTTAAATGATTGAAGTTGGGAATGGCAAGCCCAAACTCATCTTAATGAACTCACATCAATGTGTTGATTAATTTTTGCCAACATGATCTTTTATAATTTTTTAAAGATTCTTAATTAAGTACATAATATTTTGAATAACATACATCCATATTCCACAACTTAAAAAATTATAAAATTGTAATTATTTGGACTATTGAATTTAATGTACAAAATCAGATGATGAGAGAGTATCTTTTAAAGGTTTTTGATTGGTATTTACTTTTGATACTTCATTTATGCTAGCCCTCCTTTATTTATATGGTGATATCAATATCTTCTCTATGTGTAAACAGCCTAAACCCTTCTAATAATGCAAAAAAAAAAAGTATAATGAGCTTATTTTCTTATCAAATATTTGATTTGAATTAACATAAGGTTCACAATTATATCTATCATTAAAGTTTTAGACAATGCAACTTTCCATACCATCCAATGAACCTTACTCCATTTTATTAGATAATTTATGAATTATAGGTTACGACCAGACCCTATGCAACCCATATTCTCTAAAAAGTTATATTAGGCTAGGTGTAGGATAGATCATTTGCCATGATCTTTTATTGCGGATAATTTATTTTATTATCATTTAATTTATAATAGAACCACTAGAAATCATCAATATACAAAAAATATAGCAGCATCCAAAACATATACACATCATAGATTCATTCACATCAAAATGTGTTCTATAATAATCACTGTCTTTTCCATATTATCATCTAACATAAATATCCCATAATTAAAAAAGTAGTTATATTAATATAATTAATAACAAAAAAACTTCTAACACACTCCACCAAGGTCTTCTCTTTCTTTGAAACATATAATAATATATAGTAAGTGGACAGCTCTGTAGGTTACACAGAACCTAAATTTGTATTCAATGCAATTAATACAAAATAATATGCATGTAATCATGAAGGCTAAGCATATTCTAAATTAATATATTTTTATACTTACTCTTATGCATGTTTCTAGATAATGCAATCATGTTGAAATCATATGCTCATATATTCTAACGTTTCTCTCATATCATTATGTATACTTGTATGTCATTGCATGTAATATATGTGTATCATCATGTTTGTAGTATATCATCATATGTATCATATGTGGATCATCATATACATAATATATTATCATATGTATCATGTGTATATAGATATCATATGCTATAAGTAAGGAGTTTTAAAGTATCTTCATGTTGATGAACATCAATATTATGCATCATGTCATATCAGAAGCATTCGTGTTCATGTATATTAATACTATGCATCAATTCGTATTGGAAATTATCACCATGCATATCAATATGTATATCATCATGCATATCAACTCCATGTATTGTATCATATTAGAATTATTAGCATATGTAGTAATATGTACTATAAATCTATGTGTTTATCATGTACAACAATACTATGCATCATATCATACTAGTATCATCATGTATGCTAGTAGTAAGTATCATATTAAATCATTATATACATGATAATAATTTGTAGGATAGAACTATTAAAATAATTATGTATCATTATAAGGTATATTTATGTACATCATCATTGCATATAATATTATATCATATCATGTAAAATATCACTGCATCATATGCATATGTATCTTAAGCAAGGCAAGATTTTTTATTAATCATATTATACATATTCATCCCTATACAATATCACATACTATACAATAGTTGTTTTATCTCGTTATATCAGTATCAATATTAGTCATAGTAATAAGTTGGGTGGCATGATGTATAGAGTTGTCACTCCAATCATAATCATATTGTATTCCCTTATACCTCCCATCATATCATGTATCAAATTCATTTAAAAGACAGTTTAACGACCACCTTTTTACACAGGGTAATAACACGATAGTTAGTCTTTCTTGCATACACATTTCATGATAGATATGCATATATATCATATTTTATGTGCATATGAAATATCATGTAAAACATAATAATGATAGTCATATGCCACAAGGGATAACTTAAACTTAATATTTTTCATCCCAAATTTAATTCACAAATTTATTTCAATCCAAATTAACATAATCAAGGCATTATATATTTTTTAGAACATCAATAATGTCAAATATACTCATAAATCTAAATATGTTCTATTCAGATTATTGGGAGCCCTAATTACTTGAAAAAAATTGGTTATTATATTATACATTTGTCTAAAACCTATGGAACATTTCCTCATCACCAATGGCATACCTAATATATCTCTAGACCACTTGATGTGATTTTTGGCTACTTGTGCACTATAAACTCTAATAATTACAACTCTATAAGAGTGATTGAATACTTCATCCAATATAATAATATCATAATCAAATATATTTTGATAGAGTTAAACCTATTCCCTTTAAAAAAATCAATGCTTTTATGTGCTACAAAAATGAATTACTTTTTGTCTATTGGACAATGACGACTAATTAATGATATGGATCTATTGATTTGTGCCTTTGTCTAGGTAGATTTGTGAAATTTCTAGTTGAATACTTCTTATTTTTTCCTAGGCCTTCTTTGAAGTATAATGTTATGTGCAACATATTTATTAAGAACTACCATAGATGAAGCATTTAGTTAGGTTTCCATCACAAGTTTCTCATTAGTCTCAGTAATACTAATAGATTTGTTGTCATTGCTAACTTGCATAGCAAAATCCTTTCTTGATTATATATATATACTTAATAAGAGCATCCACTTTCTACTCCAATCTAAAAAAATAAGATTTGATCTTCTAAGTATAAACCTTTGTTCAGAAGTATACATTCAAACATAGAGGTTCAGGCTTGAACTGTGTTTCAAGCTTTTATTTTAAAGCTACTGGTGAAACCTATGCTCGAAACACAAGTTCTAATTAGGTCCAAACCTTATGGATTTAAACAAGTTATACAAAAATTAGAATGCGATTTGAATTAGGTTATTATGTCTTCAAACCTAATTAACACCTCAAATTGTATCTTGTTTGAATTTCTATTTGAACATCCATATTATGCAACGTTTGGGACAGCTTTTTTGCTGCTTCTTAAAACAATATTTTAGTACAAATATGAAAAATTTTATACTAAAAATTGCTTTAAGAATCAATAAAAAAGTTGTCTGAAACGAAGCCTTAATGTAAACATATAAAACTAAATTTTCCTATCAAAAAACATTACCACAAAGATAGAAGGGCTTATTACCATTTTCTTTGTGGGAATTCGAATCAAGAGTTACAATTTTTCCTTGTGTTAGAACAGAGAATCATGGCCGTTTGATAAGAGACAAACGGTCAACAAATAGCTTCTCCTTGCCAAAATGGACGGCAGAGATGTCTTGTTTACCGTGAGCTCGGTGCACCTCAAAAACTAAATTCGTTCCCTGGTCTTTCCCGTGCTAAGCCCATCACTCCGCTGCTCCGCCGTCTTCAGATCCCTCTCTCTCGCAGCTTTTGATCAATCCCGTCGATTTCATTCGCAAGCATTCTCTTTTCATTTCGATTTGATGCGCCATGGTGGTTTGCAAATGCCGCAAGGTACTCTCGATCGTTCGATTCCTCACTCTTCTTTGCCCTGTAGCCTTTGAAACTAAGGACCTCGTCACTGAAAAACACGCCTTTAGATTCTCCATCATTAAGATCCATTGAATGGGATTTGGGCCTCGCATTCGATTTCATGCGGATCTCTGCAATTGTCGACCCTGTCATGCTTTTCTCGGGAAATAAGGGATTGGTGTTATCTATCGTATATTGAATGACTCTGGTTTGTAGTCTGTGGAGTTTCACCTTTCGATCGAAGGTGTTTGCCTTGGCGGTTGGGTGAAATTGAAGTCTTTTCTAGGTTTACTTCACCTGGAGTGATCGTGAAGCTTTTTTCAGGATGTTTTTATTTGATTGAATCTAGTTTGCAGGTTTTGAGTGATTACTGATGGGTGTGGATGCTTGGGATTTCAGGCAACTCGGATTTACTGCTTTGTGCATAAGGTTCCTGTATGCGGGGAATGCATTTGTTTTCCCGAGCATCAAATCTGTGTGGTAATTTCCTCATTTTGTTATGCTTCTTTTATGCTGATATATAGTGTTCATTCTATGGGAACTGTTGATTTTATTGGAATAACGATTAACTTTCAAAATTATGAGTGCTTGTTTAACAGGAGGATATGGTTATTATTTATTTTCGTTTTTGCCCTCTTGCCCTCCATGGTCTATAGCAACTTCATGGTAGCTTTTAATTCATTTTCTTCCATTATGTCTTCATTGGGCATGATTTGAAGTTTGAAGTGAGACTTGGCAGTTGATAAGGCTAGAAATACGCCTAAGGGTTTTGATTTGAGTTTAGTATAATTCTAGTGAAGATATTTAGTTCTAAGGATTAGGTATTTTGGATTAATGGATAGGGAAACACCTTGTTTAAAGAGTGCCACCTTCAATGAGTAATAAACTGGCTGCCCTACTCTCAATCGTTTGTGTCAGCTGCTGGCAACCATCACAGAGTATCGTAGACTTTTTGTCCTACAATAAATCTTCAACTACAATTTCTTCATCTTAGATGTCATATTGATTTAATCCTTGCTTCACCAATTTGTTAGGAATATTCATCTACACATGACTTACATGATGTTGATTTCGAATGTCCAAGAGCTTTTTCAAAAGATTTGCATTTCCTTAGATTTATTTATCATATTTGTTCTCCCCTTGCTCCCTTTCTCTCTCCCCCACCTTTCTAGGATTTTTGCTAATATTTGGAATGACTGCACCAATATGGTGGACCATGAAAACTTTCAATTATTTTCAGTAATCAGTATCATTTTACTTCCTAAATTTCACTCCTGTTTGATGCAACAATAGCGAGTATTCATTTTGGGATTGTAGATTTTATTTCAGCTGGCTGTTTGTTGCATCCTAAAATATCTCTTATTGTCACATTTCTATAAGAAATGTTATGTTGTTGCCACATTTCTATTATGTGGCTTCTATTTTAGCATGTGATTCTCCATGCACCAACTTGCGAGATTTTGTTTCATGAAGATTTCTTTTGCTGACTAATTTACATAATATTCATAACATGCATGCATCTCTACATGCTTTAGAATAAAAACAAAGTATTGGATGCCTTTTTGATCTTTAAGGTAGAAGTAGAGAGGCAATGTAAAAATAAATGAAGATCGTGAGATCTGGTGGTGATTTTTTTTAGGAGATACACTGAAGCTGATCAAATGCTTCATCCATTTGCAAAGTTTCTTCAAAATAATAGGATTGCTATCCAATACAATTTATCTAGCTCATTTGATCAGAAAGGTGTGGCTGAGAGAAGGAATCGAACATTGATGTTTATGCTGAGGAGCATGATTAGCCACTATAAATTACCTAAGTTATTATACATTGAAGCTCTCAAGACAACGGTGTATATACTAAACCAACTTCCAACCAAGGTAGTTTCCAAAACACTTTTTGAAAACACTTTTTGAATTATGGAAAGGTTGAATACCGAGTTTGCAACATTTATGTGTATGGAGATGCCCATGTGAAGTGAGACTTTATAATCCATAAGAAAAGATAACTGGATCCCATGACTTTTAGTGGATATTTATTAGATATGCTGAGAAATCTAAGGGTTGCAAATTTTATTATCCATTCAGGAGCACTATGATAGTGGAAATAAAAAATTCGAAGTTCCTTGAAAATAAATTGATTAGTTGGAGTGATCAATTAAAGAGTAGTTTTTGAAAAGGAATATGCTGATGCTCAACCTTCTATTTCAAGTGATATGTTGATTGTCATTCCTAACACTCCCAAGTCCAAATGGGTGTTAGATAACTAATAATTAGGATTCCACAAGTTTCTAATAATGAACCAATAGATTCAGTTATTGATGAGTTATCATATATAGTTGATCAACCAACTTCACAAGAGGAAGTTCTTACAACATTAAGAAGATATACTAGGGAAAGAAGATCAACAATTTCTAATGAGTACATTGTGTATCTTCAAGAGCCGGGCTATTAGAGATGGAAGTGATTCTGAAATATTTTCACGTATAATGAATTATAAAGAATCCATTTTATGGTATGCTTCCATGAAAGTTGAGATGAATTCCTTGGCACATAATGGAGTCTGTGATCCCATTGAGTAGCATGATGGTGCAAAAGTTATTGTTTGTAAATGGGTCTACAAAGTGAAGAGAGAGTCATTAGACAATAGAGAGATATAAAGCAATACTCATTGTCAAAGGATTAACTCAACAAGGGGGAATTGATTGTTAGGAATCTCCTGTATCTAAGAAAGATTCCTTCCAAATTATCATTACACTTATTGCATATTTGGACTTAGACTAAAACAAATGGATATGAAAATTGCATTTCTTTTTGAAGATCTAGAGCAGAAGGTTTATATGAAACATTCATAAGGATTCTTATTTAGTGATGTTGAGTAGTTAGTGTGCAAGTTCTAGAGGTTTCTATATGGATTGAAACAAGCCTCTCATTAATGGTAATTAAAATTTCATGATGTGTTCTCTTCATTTGTATTTGTGAGAAATATTATTGATCGATGTATATACCAGAAGGTTAGTGGGAGAATTTTTTTTTCTAATCTTATATGTAGATGATTTTTTACTTGCAACGATTGATAAATGTTTATTACATGAGGTGAAATAATTTCTCGAAGAATTTTGTATACATCTTTATATTTGCTGGTAGAGTTGTATCTTGGAGGAATGCTAAGAAAAATTTGGCTGTTGCTTCTACTATGAAAGTCGAGTTTTTATCTTATTTTGAGGCTACCTCTTATAGTGTATTGTTTAAGTGTTATTGGTATGATAAGCATTACTAGAGTTAGACTTGAAATAAATATGGAGTTTATTTATTATGTAGGTATATGCATAAGAGACATTTATTAAGATATATGGGAGATAATACACTCTCTTTGAGGACCTATCATCATGATCCTTGAATTTTGTTTCTTAAAATAGTAATGATGAAATATTTGGATCAACTGGGAGATGTCAGTTTTAATAACAAATTATATTTGAAATAAGTTATAATGAAATTTTTATATCTTATTGCATGTTGAATAAGGTCAAAATATAATCTAAATTTTTCTCCAAAAGTCAAAAATGCAGATAACTTTTTTTTTTTTTTACTAAAACTATCCATTCTGTTCTTAAGAACTTCTATGAAAAATAGAAGTTTTACATATGTGTTAAGATGGCTTTTTGGGTCTCTAAACTTTCAACCTTATTCAGAAAATACAACATCAATTTGATCTTTGAAAAGGTTAGAAGTGCTCAACATTTGTAGTAATCAACAAATATCCTTGGCTGGTCTAGGTTGGAGTTATGTTATATTCTGCATTTAAGATTCAATCTTTCTTTTCGATTTGATTTTGGAAAGATGTATAGAATCTAAAATAATTTCATTCATCTGATTCTGAATCTGAAATTATGGATATAATCAAAATTTTAAATTTCGCACTCTAATAAATGATTGATCGCATGTGAAAATTTGGATTTGGTAAATATATGATTTTGTGATTTAAAAATATATATAAGATTCATAATAATACCTTTTATTTCTTACATGTAGAATGATTATAATGGCCTTGGAAATGATCCTAAAAACATTTCCCCACAATATAGGTAATTGTATGCAAATACAGATACAAAGAGGCTGTCTTTATTTGTAGAAATGATGTGATAATCAGCCTCAGTTTCATAATTCCATCTATTGAATTAGAACTTCCATTTGTATGAAATAAATTATTTAATTGACATAAATTGAATCAAACTTCTGGATCCAATGCTTCATTTATATTTTGCCCCCTCTTTTTAAGTGCAACTAAATAACATCAATGACTGGCTCTGATATCAAATATAAGAAATAAATAATGATATTCAATATCTTAAATATATTTTTAAATCACAAAATCATATGTTTTTCAAATCCAAGAATTTGTATGTGATCAATCATTTGTTGAAGTGTGGAATATAAAATTTTATTATAGACATAATTTAAACTCTAGAATCAGATGAAAGAGATCATTTTGGATTCTATACATATTTGCAAAATCAAATCCCAAAGGAAGATCGAATCTTAATATAGGAATTAACATACCTCTCGCCATTGACATATGTCGATTAGCACAGATTTTGAGTGCTTCTAAACCTTCTCAAATATCAAATTGATTGTTTATTTCGTGAATGAGATTGATTACACATATATACTACTTCTATTCATCATAGAAGTTCTTATTGATAAGAATGGATAGTTTTTTAACTAAAAATGCTTTTATTAATCAAAAAATGGTTATCCACGTTTTTACCTTTTGGAGGGAATTTTGTATCATATTTTGAACTTAATCAAAATGGGATAAGTTACAAACACTGTATAATAACTTATTTAAATATATTAGTTATAAAAACTAACATTTAGATAGGACATTGAACCAAAAGAATGAAAGATTCAAGGTTGAAATGTTAAATTGAGGTTTAAATCAGATTATGTAATAAATATTAAACTTATTTAAATATTACTTAAACTATAATACAAATATGTAATAAAAATAAAAATTTGAAAAAGACATCAACTCAAATCACCAATGTATCTAATAGAAAACTTAACAAGTATCATGTACATTGTCCTTCTGGATTTTTCCCTTCCTTGTAAAGTATTCAACATCACTAGCCTTATGCTAACTCTTATTAATACAACAACAACAACATCAAGCCTTTATCCCACTACGTGGGGTCGGCTACATGAATCCTTTTTCTCCATTGTGACATATTAAAAGTCAAATTCTCATTTAAATCTAATAAAGAAAGATCATTCCTAATATTTTCTAACCAAATCTTTGTTGGTCTGCCTCTACCTTTTTTTAATATAAGTCAAATCTAATACCTCTACTTTCCTAACCGGGTCATCGGAAGGCTGCCGAAGAGATTATTAAAAAAATAATAATAATTTGAAATGAAAAGCATGTTTTCTTTTTGAGAAATATGGTTATTATAATTATTTGTGGAGTAATTCAAATCATTGTGCTTATAGGTTTGTAACTTAAATAAATATTTGAGGAGTTATGAGGTTAGGACTTGAGGTTTATAATTTAAATAGTTTTATTTATTCTAAATTATTTATATTTAGCCTCCTGGTTAAAAATAAATGACAAGAAAATGATAAGTTATGAACTGGGTGGTTTATTGAAATCACGAAGGGTTAATCAGTTCAATCGCCTATTCTACCTATTTCAATCTGCTATTCTATCGAATTCAATATGGTTATGAGTGATTGAGATGTGGACCGAACTTGTTTGGAGATCGATTCACTAATGAACTGGTCGGATCAACTAGTTTGGTCCAGTTAAGAATACTGGTTATAAAGAGTTAGATTTATGCAACACTTAAGCAAAGTAAAATCAATATCAAATCAAAGTAATATGCAATAGAATGTTTTACTTTCTTCAGAGTCTCTTATTTATAACCGCATATTCTCCCATAATTTATAATTAAAAAAAATTAATAATTAGAGTAGATATTTAACAGAAGTTGAGAAGCCCATATATAACTAGATATTTCATTATAAATTATGGACTAATTCAACTTCTTATTTTCCTTGTATGGAAAATTTTACCTTTATGTGGAACTAAATCAGCACACAGATGCCTTCCAAATATGCATCATTTTTTTCTGTTATAATATCATAAATGTATTTATCACGTTTGTAATTTTATTATTACTTTCTATATTATAATTCTATGCATGTCAGGTCTTTCAATAGAAAATTGATGGACCTTATTGATTTTGTAGGTCCAAAAATACTCCGATTGGGTAGTTAATGGAGACTATGATTGGCCTCCTACTTGTCCGCGGTGCCAAGCTGAGATTGAAGCTGGAAGTGAAACTATTCGATTGGGTTGCTTGCGTATGAAATAAGTCATTTGTGATTGTTTCTTTGTCATTTGCGAAGTTTATTTCTTGCATGAAAACTTAATTTTGCAGAAGCACTTTTGCCTCACTATTATTTTACCTTGTTTTGTTTTTGCCATTGCAGATGTTATGCACACCAATTGTTTGGTGTTACATATTCAAAGCTTTCCATACCAAACTGCACCAGCAGGATATGTTTGCCCTTCGTGTTCATCCCCTGTAAGCCTCATCATCTTTTTCTCCCACTTGCCCCCTTTTTTATTTTGTTTTTCAAAATTTCTGACCATGGTTTGGTATCATTGAATCTTACACTTTATTAGCATAAAGGAAGATATATTCTTCTTTGATATGTCCTCAATCCTCTTGCATGCATGTGCATGTGAAATTTTATTTGAAAGCAATGGTAAGTTGCCCTTGTCTAAGATCAATTTAAATAACCAACCTAATTAATCTCATCTGTTTGTTAGTATGAGGAATTTTTTTTTTTGTTATGATAGCTACTGCATTGCTTTACTGGAAGAGGTAAGGTATAAAAGGTTTTTATTGGTATTCAACTCTGGTTGACTCCAGCCCATACACATGGACAATTTGATAATTTGGCTAGAAGTCCTTTGTTTTGGCAATATAGTTCAGGCAGGTTGATTTGTTATGGAAGGCAACGCAGACCTGTTCTGGGATGCTTTATTCTCTATTCTGAACCCAGAATCAGCTCAAGCTCCAATCCAAGCAGCGAGCTAACTTGATATTAATTGAAGTTCTTATTTATGTATGGGAACTCTTGTTTGTGTACTTTGATGGCGCTTCCTTTGAATGTGCGAACCTATATTATGTCAATGCGTACAGAAGTTGTAGTTTCATGCTAACTTTCAGATACAAATTGTTCTTTCGTCTCCCAGGTTTATTGGTCTAGAAAAAAAGGAAAAAATTGGAGCACATATTCTGAGCTGCAAGAGATTTAGACTACATGTTGATATTTTCTGCTTTATTTGAAGTACTTGAAAGTTGCTTATAACTTACCATATAATAACTTTTCATTAAGCTTGATTATATCATATTATATTGGATTTATTTGAATTGTTGGCATTTAGTTTTATTAGAGCTACTATTTGTGAGGTTCACCTATGAAAAGAGGTTCACCAGGTGATGCTTAGAGTGTATTGGCAAAGTTGAATGAAACAAAATCATTTCCTTAAGTATGAAGTAGGCAGTTAACTATATCTTGAATGTTGAATTCATGATTTTTTTTATTGAACTACTTTTTCATTGGAAAATGCCAACCAAATTGTGACAATTGTGATACAGTGAAGCTGGCTAAAATCATATTATTCTTTAATATTTTTGTTACTGAATACTTTATAATGTGTGCAGATATGGCCACCTAAAAATATTAAAGATACTGGATCTTACTTGCACACGAAACTGAAAGAAGCAATTATTCAGGTCAGCTTGATTCTAACAAATCTTCTTAATGATCAGGACTACTATTTCGGTATTTCCCCATCTAATTGTAAAAAATCTTCGCTATATTCAGGTGAGCTTGATTGTAGCTCGTTGAATGATTTAACTATACCATCGTTCTGTGTAATTTCTCCTACTGGTTGTTGTTGCAAATTTTATGTAAGATCACCTTTACATAACCACCTGCTTCATGCACTCTCATTATGGTAATATCCTTAGTTAAAGGCTGGTTACAGATGAACTTGTAGATAATCAGCGTATGAGCCACAAAAAATGGGCATGTATATATATATATATATATATATCTACTGAAAATCATAACATGTTTTCAAACCTTACCATTGAAAGTTACCCAATTCCTCTACCATGGCCTTTAAAAACTATATTTTCTCTGATCAAGTAATTATTTGTTAATGTGTGCCTTTTTTATTCTTTTGTCCTAAGTATATAACTTGTTATGAGAAACCAGCTTCTTTTGAGAAGAATTACCAAAGATGAGCTTTGGAGGAGTTCCTTATTAAATGAGTCGAAGTAACATTTAGGTTTCGTTTGGGATGGCTTTCTTAATGCTTCTTAAAATAACTTTTGAGTACAAAAATTTTAACTTCTGTACTAAAAAATTGTTTTAAAAAGCAGTAAGAAAGTCGTCCCAAACGAAGCCTTAATTAGCAGATGTATTGCTCCTTGTTTTGGTATACTTAGGTTTATATTTTATTCTGTTTATGCCTATCTTGTTTCTCAGTCTCTTACTTCTGACTGAAGTTGCCACCGGTCCATGGTAGTAGTTCAAAATTTCACCATTCTAGTTCATGATGAAGTTAAGTTTCATTTATTTCAGAGTGGCTTGGAGAAAAATATATTTGGAAATTACCTGGTGTCATTACCTCCTGTGGAGCCCCGAGCTACTCCTCCTGCTTTTGCTTCAGATCCTCTTGTTCACATATCCTCTGCTGATGATGGAGAGAAGATCAATGCCAATTCATTTGACTCTATTAAAGATAAAAGTATGGCTTCTTCTTTGGGTGGAATAGCATCTCTCAAGAATTCTGAAGAAGATATTGTGGAAATAGAAGGCCCTAGCTCTGTAGGAAATCATTTCATGTCCGATCAAGATCCCAATTTTATGAAAAGCAAGAATGCTACAACTGTAAGTTATAGATTTTTAGTACCATTTGTTCTATATGTTTATATGTTTCTTTTCAGGCTGTCTGCGAATAGACTAACCCCCTTATTCCCTTATGTATTTCTTATATTTGAACATTATACAGCCTGGTGCTACTACACGAAAGGGAAGCTACCATGTTGAACGGCAAAGCTCTGAAGTCTCTTATTTTGCAGATGATGAAGATGGGACACATAGAAAGTATAGCCGAAGGGGTAAGTCGATATATTGCTTAAATTTATGATGTTAATGCATCTTTGTTTTTAATTTGGAACTCTTTGCTTGATTACAAGTTGGCTGAGTGTGGAAGTGTTTAAGAGCAATTGCAGTGGGATTTGTAACACAAGCTCATGGGAACATGTATTTCGAACTCACTAAAATTGGCTTCATCAAAGCCTTTCTAGGTTCCATAATTAATCACCCAAGATAAATGCAATGATACACTTAGGGATTTAGTTCAAGCAAGCTAATTACTGGTTTGGGTAATTAATCAAAACTACACATTCTTAGTTTTTGGCGCTAACTAATTTCACTAGGGGGTTAGCGGCTTTGAAAAATTAAATGCAAGATTTCTACAATGACCTAATGTTTAGTTGGGGGGCTCCTAGTCACATGCAAGGATTTGAAGACCTAGGGGGCTCTAAGTTTCATATAATTACCTCACCGGAGCAAGTCAACAGTGCGATCGATTTGCTCTCGCCTTGCAAAGGTGAGATGGAGGGAGGAGAAAGTTGTCTAAGTATCTCCACATTCCCTTGCAAATAGTACAAAGAGAGAAGTAGGTGTCAGAAATCTGTATATTCAAATGTACAAGTTAACATGTATATATAAGCATGATGATGACATAAAGATGATTAATACAATCTAGATGTTATTTACAACATCTTAAAATCATCTCAACACTTTACAATTCATAATAAGTATTTGATGATTGTAAGACTTTCAAATAACTAAACAAATAAATAATAACTCTTCCCTTTATTACAAGAATTCAATGAAAGGAATATAAAGAAAAAAAAGAGATACAATCATAGTTCAATGAAGTTGCATCTGTATTTAATGTCAAAGCACAGAAGAATATATGAAATTATCCAATCTAATCACGACTCTTTGAATATTGAATATATACATGCTATTGGGATACAAATATGCATAATAACTTTCCAATTTTGATATAATTCGTTAATATCAAACATATTTATATAGTCTCTTACTTTAAATTTATGTAAGTGCCATATCTGCATATGTGGTAATGGGCAACATGTTCAACATATAACTATTAAAATATGAAATGACCATCCCATTTTATACATCAGTCTAATTTATACATCAGTCTAATTCATATTGAAGGATCGTTCCATTTTAAAAGGGATTTTTGCATTTAAATATATTTTTAATGACATCCTTTTTTTATTGAATAAGATCCCATGCAATTGATTTCATCAATATACATTTGAGTTAATAAAATTTTGACAAAGCCTTGCAATTAGATAGGGCCATTAGAATGAAAGGCTAATAAAAGTATATGAGAAATTAAGCAGTTAATGGGAATGAATCTATTGATCACTTTCCGAATCATACACATTTAATTTACATTTAAACTATTATTCACTCAAATATTAGAGCATAAATACCTTTACAAAACTCTATAACTAAACACCGTTTAATATAATGATTGGAAAATAAACTTGCATTGAAATTCGAGCTAGTCAATAAAATATTTGAGCATGCATCTTCATAAGAACCTATCCAAACTGGTGATGAAATGCACAATAATATAAATGCATGAATGATCTACGCTTGCCACCATTCAAGAGGTGATTGGATCAACACATGAAAAAAAAAAAAAAAAACACGGGCATATGTGCAAAGATTCAAGTATGATTGTGGTTCACCTTACCTTTTATTTAATATATAAATATAACCAAATTAATCCAACATACCTAGTTCATATGGTTACCACATTTAATATTTGGGGATTTACCATTTTCTTATATATGAAAGGTGGATAACATTCCTGTATAATTTTATATATCTCTTTAAACCCAAATCAATCAAATTAGTGAGGTATTAGAAACTTTTATTCATCAGCCATTTGTATGTTTTCTTTATTTCTTTTTTCTTTTTTTTATAACAAAACGAGAGCATATAATCATTGCTCTTTTAAAATTACATCAAAGGAAAGTAATGAGTGGTTGTTGTAGCTTTATGACAATAAACAATATTAACATAGTAGGGGTCTAGTGATTCGCTCTTGAGTTTCTTAATTAAACACAAAAGGAAGCTATTATGTAACACCTAAGCAAACTGAGAGTGTAAAGACGATATGTTTCTTCAAAATTTATACATGGAGTTTTGAATTGCATACCACATGAAACAATACTATAAACCAGTTCAGTTTTTTTTTTTAAACAGATTTTTACATGCGAAGATTCGGTCTCAATTGATACAAAGTTACAAACCAAGCCATAGGACTTGTTCATGCTCCAAGAAACTTTTCATTTCAGTTTTTTTTTTATATATATGCATTCCTGAATCGATATCATATAAACCAAAGTAAACCATAGAAATTTCATTCATACTAACAAGATCGATTTAAGCTGAACAATCTCCTCTTTTTGCTTTATTCATTTCGATTTTAAGGAAATAGAAAAGTAAATCATAGAAATTTCATTCATACTAACTAGATCGATTTAACCTGAACATATCTCCTATTTTTTGCTTTATTCATTTTGATTTTAAGGAATTAGAATAAGGGACTAAAACACGTCTATTTAAAAATAAAGCAATGCAAAGTACAGCCACTTGGTTGTAACAATAGAAAATTCATTGCTGGATAGTTTAAGAGATAAATCAACTACCTACGGCCAATGTCTTTGGCATTCTTCCTTGTTACAGCCAACTGAGAACAAATAAAAGTAAAATATACATATAGAAATGTATACATTTTTTTTACAGATTTTTTTCCTCTTCACAAGCTTTTGTTCATTCACTTAGTTGAATGAAAGAAGACAAAACAAAAAGAAAATACCTCTTTCTCTATGTTTGGATGGAAGAAAAGCAACCAACTCTCCTTTCTTTTTGTCGAAGTAGTTGGAATGGCGATAAGAGGTTGCTCGATCAAGAGGAGCTGCTCGTGTGAGTGTGAACAGAGTCGGGGGCTTTGGCCTCCTTGGCGTGTGAGAGCATGAGGGAAATAGGTTGGTAAGGAAGTCAGCACAGTGAAGCAGGAGCAATTGAATGGGTGGGGGGCAGCTTCCTATGTGTGAAGGAGAAATGAGAGGGAGAGAGCTGCTCTATGTCTAATCGAGAGATGGAGAGCACCATAGGAGAGGTCCTCGGCTACTTTTTTTCTCTACACTGTACTGTCTCCATCTTGGAGTGTGGAAGTTGGAAAAGTATTTTAGGAGGTAGGAGTTTTTTTTTTTTTTTTGTCTTTTTGTGAGATTATGATGATAAATTTTTAATCCAAAATCAAATTGCTACTACTATATGCTAAGTTTTTATCTTATACCAACTAGCCTTAATCAAAAGTTCTTTCTCATCACCTAGAGTAGTAATTAATTATAGAGACTCGCGCTTATGAAATATTTGGAACTAAATCATGAAGTTTTTCATAAAATGAGGGTAAAATCTCAGGGTATTATTTTATTTGCAACCTCATATGTCTTATGAAAAATTGAACCTGAACATCTAAACTCTCTTACAAAGTTGGGGAGTAAAATTTCAAAAATTTCACAGCCCATTATTTTGTAATTATAATCTTATTTAAATCCATAAAATATGGATTTAAGTGATTGTATTTGTTTTAATCGTACTATGAATGAGTTTTGAAGTGGGGTTTCTTATTCTCTATCCATCAAGTTTGACCTCATAAACTTACTGCACCCCTTTTTATTCTTAATGGTTCTCTCTTTTTGCAAAACATGCATCTCAAAATTTCTTTTTTGCTCTTACATAAATAATATTTTTTATTATCTCAAACTCGAAAATTTCAAGGAACTAAGAGATACAGTTCTCTTCAATCTTCATACATCTAAAGGGTTAGTTGAAGAGTGGCAATAAGAGGAAAAGGAGGATTAAGAAAATCATCATCTTAAAGGCCATATCTAATCTCAACAAATGGGCATAAAAAACATCTCTTTCTACATAAATTGGTATAAGTGTCAATTTTTAGAAGGAAATTATATACATTCCTATATATTCATACCTTTTCTTACTTAACCAACACTGAACCGAATTTAGAATTAAAAGGGAGGGAAAAAAGTCCTTTTTTATAAGTTATCATCACATGTATATATAATTTCAAGACTTTTTACTTGATGATGGGAGATCATATAATATGCCAGGCTCTTGAATTCCAATGAGAGATCATATATAATTTCTAGAAATTTAGGCACTTGTGTTACCTCCAATTCACAAACGTAATCCTCATGCTGAGTAAGCATATGAGGATTATTATTGTGGTAATCCATATTTTGCATATTTTCCCATTTTTTCGCCAACTTACAATAGTCACATTAAATTCCTTTATCATTGCATTTAATGTTTAAAATATGAGTTAAATCACTGAACAATTCTCAACCTTTATATTTTTAAATTGAAAATATATTTTGGAGCTTTTATGATAATTCTTGCCCCATAAAATGGTTTTCTAATTGGACCTTATTAAACGAGACCTTCCAGGATTAAACAAATTTTACAAATCTATTCTTTTTTATGTATAACCTCCTTTTTTTATGACATCAACACGTGAACTCTACTCAAAGATCCAAGAATTGGCTTCCCCAATTCTGCTTTCAATTGTGTAAGAATTCCTTGGACTAACCATTATTATTGATTATGTGCATTTTTTATTTTTAGTATCCAATTTCTATTTCTAAATGTTTCAAAGCATGATATTTTTTAATATTGAAATGCATTTATTGTAGATAATTTTGCATGAATCTGTTTATTTGACTGAAACATGGATTTTCTGAAGATATCAAATTGATTTACTTTCATGAACTTAAGTCTAACTGATTAAACTTTCCATTTCAGGCCCCTTTGGTCACAAATTTCTGAGAATGTTACTTCCCTTCTGGTCTACCGCACTGCCGACCCTACCTGTGACTGCTCCATCCCGCAAAGAGAGATCTAATGCAGATGATGCTCAAGAAGGACGTGTGCGTCAGCAAAGACCTTCAAGAACGGATCCCAGGAAAATTTTACTTGTGCTGGCAATCATGTAGGTTCTCTGGTTACTAGACTGTTTTTTGTTTCCTTTGAAAAATAATTATTGAACTAAACTCTCTTGGATCCATTAACATAGGCTTCGTTTGGGACGGCTTTCTTAAAGCAGTATTCAAAATTTTTATATTTTGAAAGCTGCTTTAAGAAGCAGTAAGAAAGCCATCCCAAACAGGACCATAGTGTTTTGTAAAATTTATCTTCAAGTCACTACAATAATCTCACATCACATAGTATTTTTGAGGCTTGTGAAATTTAACCACTCAACTATAACTCTTGAAATTATGTCATCTATTTCTCAATTCTTTTATTGTAAACCCAAGACACATCAATTGATTACACATTTGTATCGCTTAATCTTCTTGCAATATTGCCTTACTTATGCACCCATAATATTATATATCATATCCTTGTTTTCTGTTGCATTATGATAAGCTTATGTTCTTTTAAGCATTTATCCAATGCTTTAACTTTCCACTCATTTAAGTTAAGGCCACACATTCACTTGTAAACTTGTTGACATCAATAAATAACATGTAATAAGTCATTTGACATTAAACATTTGTTCTCTATATCAATAGAAAGACTAAATAAAAAGATCCTTGTTATCTTATGATGATTGGGAATTATTGGTTCCCCCACAACTACTTTTGATTCTGGTTAATGCTTCTTCATGCTTATCTTTAATAGTTTCAATGTACCTTAAACATTTTTTTTGGATGTGCAGTTAATCAATTCTTTTGTCACATTTATCTTCTCAAGATCAACAAAAATTTTATGAAGATCATTTCATTGCTCTCTTTACTTTTATTTTAGTTACCTTAGCCCAAATCACTTTTATAGTTAATCTTCCTGGTTTGAAATTTAAATACATATATGTTTTTAATAAGCTTATGTTCCATTATCACCCCTCATAATTTTATCGTATGGTTTGTGGGATTTATTGTCAAGATGGTATGCTGATATGTCCTTAGAATTAGCCTTATTTACATTGCCATACTGAGGCTTCATTTGGGACGACTTTCTTACTGCTTTTTAAAATAATTTTCTAGTATAATTTTTTTTTTTGGTACTAAAAAATTCCTTTAAGAAGCAGTAATAAAGCCGTCTCAAATGAAGCTTGAATGTTCCCACCAATCGGTTGCAAGTATGATGCTTTACTGTAACTTTAGCTCCCATGAGCTGTTATATTTTCCTCTTTTTCTTCTATAAGCTTTCCTGCTAGACGATATTCCCGGCATCCTTATTTTTGGCCTCTAATGGCGAGCATTTAGAAGAAATGGTTAATATGTGAAAGAAAATTTATGCTGATTACATGTTGATCTACAGGGCATGCATGGCAACTATGGGAATTTTGTACTATCGCTTGGCTCAACGTAACTTTGGCGTCGACATTCCAGAAGATTTACCTCAATGAGGAGAGAGGTCCTTTATCCTTATTTTATGCTTATTCTTTTGTAGAGGTGCACTTTTTGAGGGCTTTGTTGATACAAAATTTTCTTTGGGACGATTTTCTTATTGATTCTTAAAGTACTTTTTTAGTAAAAAATTATAATTTTTTACTAAAAAAGCTGCTTTAAGAAGCAGTAAAAAATCGTCCCAAACGAAACCTAAATCTGCTTTCTAATGCTTCATGAGGAAATGCTGCATGGGGAACTGTTTTCTATTGTAGGGAATGCTTCTGTGGCTCTGTTTGAGTTTTTACTTATTTATTATATGAATTCTTTTACTTGTGGAAAATGAGATGTTCCATCTTTCACCTTTCCCTTTTCGTGGTGCTGAGTTGCTCATGGAGTTTTTTGTAGGGGCCTTGAATGATTAGCTTGGGTTTTTAACTCAAGTTTTGTTTGGGACAACTTTTTTATTGCTTTATAAAACAGTTTTTTAGTATAAAAGTCTCTTGAACTTGAAAATTTTGTTCTAAAATGCTGCTTTTAGAAGTATTAAGAAAGCTGTCCCAAACGAAACCTCAATCTAGTGAAATAAGGAATCTATGTATTATCTTGGTTTTGTGAAGGGCGTACAAGTCTGCTACCTTAAAACTTTGTTTAGATCTATTTAAAATGCAAATCGTCATGGCACTAGTACGACTCAATTTGAACCTAGCTTGTGGTAGGTGTTAGGCTTCATTTGAGATGACTTTGTTACTGCTTTTTAAAGCAGATTTTTAGTAATATTTATATCAAAAAATTGCTTTAAGAACTAATAAGAATGCCGTCCAAAATGAAGTCTCAAGCTTTTTTTGGGATAGCCTTTTCATTGTTTCTTAAAGCATCTTTTTAGTACAAAAATTTTGATTTTTCTATTAAAAAGCTGTTTTAAAAAGCAATAAAAAAGCCGTCCCAAATGAAATCTTAGTTGGACTTTATAATGTTGGATGTTTTAAGATCTTGAGTTCACTATGTGAAGCACAAAAAAACATTTCATAATTCACAAGTCTTAAATTTCAATTTAATCAAATATTTATTACTTTTGATGCAGAAAAAAAAATCATTTATACGAAACAAAAATTTGAAAATGAAATAGAAATAAAAGAAATAATATGATATTCTACCGTGAACGAAATTTGGACCAGAAAAGGAAAAAATCGGCCAAGGGAGAACTTGATAAAATCACTCTAGGTTCGGTCATAGGATTGTTACTCGGTTTTTGCTCGGTATTTGGTCGGTATTGTTAGGTAATAACGAGGAATACCGGTCTATGAAGATCAATACCGAGTTATACCGAGCAATATCGAGCAATACCGAGTAGTACCAAAAAATACCGAGTTTTTTCTAGAAAAAATTAGGTATTTTTTGGTACTACTCGGAATTGCTCGGTATAACTCGGTATTGGTCTTCACATAATGATATTTTCTCGTTATTGTTGGTATTGCTCGGTATTTACTTGGTATTTCTCGTTTTATGCGTGCGATCTTAGTGCCGGCCGAACGTAGCTCTACGTACCTTCACCGGACCAAATAAAAGTTCCAATTCTGCACACAAATGAAACATAAATGAAGCAGTCACCCTATATATTTTTTTAGGCTGGTCCACCAGATTATGAAGAAAGTTTGAAATCTTTTAAAACTATGCATCCAATGCTATTGTCATCAATGAATGTTATGTCAATATCAAACCAAATATTATTGTCATCTAATATATAGACCTTTCTTAAAATCACCAAATTCTTTTTTACACAGTAAATGTATATAATTAAAGTCAATACATTACACTAGAGAAATATTATAAAATTTAAATTTAAATCAAGTAGCTTAAAATAAGGTAATTATAATTTTTTATATGATTTCATATTAATAAAATGCAAATGCAGCTTTTTAATATATTAATGCAAATGAGTTGACCCGGCAACCTGTCAGGTCAATCCGAACCCGACCTATTTTTCAAACGGGTCGAATCCGGGAACTCGAATCAGACCCGTTTTGAAAACGGGTCAGGTCTATCCCGTAATTTCCGGGTCGGATTCGGATCAGATTTTCGTGTCGTGTCAAATATTGACACCCCTATTTGACAATACTTGTGCAGACATGGATGACTCCATAAAAACTGAAGATCGACCTCCCCAAGCTCATGGCACAGATGGAACAATAAACCAAGAGATCGAGAAGTGGTTGCAAGGTAAGCATAAATTAGCATCATAGAAGGTGTTCAGGAGGTCATCCTCACTCACCACCCTTACACTCAGATTGTTATACACAAAGTAGCATGTATGGAAAGTCAAATCTGCATAGTCGCTTGCGTTCATAAATGCAACACAACATTTTACAAGGCAGCCATAAGATCAGCCGCTTTGTGACCACTTACAGCAAGATTACCCCCAAGGGAGGATGGAGATTAGCAAATCCCCCGAAAGATAATTATCTTGTGGCTAGCAAGCTTATGTGATTCTCCTTATATGCCCCATGGATGTGATCATGAACACAATCTTTCCTAATAATATTATTCACATATATTTAAACTAATCTACTTTATTACCTATGGCAGGAAGAGGCGCCTGAGAACTCATCCCAACCTCAATAAATGTGACCTCCCAAAGGCGCTCGCCTCTTCCATCAGGTGGCTCATCCTCCTCCTCAAGAGTCAAGTCAACTCTTACATTCACTTATCTTTTTTACCACTCGTCTATCCAACGGCCAAGTGTTATGAGGAACTAAATGTATACTCGCCCATGCTTTCACAGGTGCTTAGTGTTAGAGCGCCTTACACGTCACCAGCTGATGTGTCTATCCGTTATCATATTATATATTTTCTTACTTTCTTTCTCTCAAAGCTATTTATAATTAACTTCCATGTATTGCTTTAGATCATATATGAGATTTCATTTTCCTTTATCCTCCTCTTTCTCTGTTCTTCCTCATCCGTTCAAGCTGGCCAAAGGATCTACATGGTATCAGAGCGATTCACATCCTTGCCCGCAGCTTCTAGCTTTGCCTCAACTGAAGCTCCTCTCCGACGATGGCGGACCAAGAATTCGCTTCATCCCTCCCTCCTGCTTCCAGCATCTCTACTTCTTCAAAGAAATTCATTCAACCTCCTCCCCTAAAATTATTTATTTCTAACCTCAAACATCTCGTCCCAATCCATTTTTCTAGCGACAACTATGCAATATGGCGTCTGCTACTCCTCCATAATTTCTCTACCAATGGATTTCTTGGACATCTCACCAGAGCTACCACCTCTCCTACCAATACCTCTAGCTCATATTATCATCTTTGGTGATTAATTGATTGCAACTTGATTTCTGCCTTGTTTGCCATGGTCTCACCTTCCATTCTTCCATACGTCTTTGCCTCTTCCACAGCCCATGAAGTATGGACCATTCTTGAACGTCATCTCCAATCAAAAAATTGTTCTCGAGTTATACAACTCAATAATGAACTACATCATGTCCAAATGCGGGATCGATCCATGCAGCAATATCTTGCATACATCAAGTCGCTCATAGATAGTATTGCTGTCGCTGGATCCAAAATTGACACTGAAGATATTGTTTTATATATCTTGATGGACTTCCCTCAACTTACAACTCTTTTAAAGCAGCTATTTGTACATCTCTAAACCCCATCGATCTCGAGACCCTCAATTCTCTACATTGCAGTGAAGAAATCAACATTCAACATGAATAATCTCAAGAAATAATTTCTTCATCTGCCGTAACTATTCTTTACTCCAACAAGAACAACACCTCTCATGGATGAGGCTCCACACAATACTCTAAATGCCTCAATTCGTCTTCCCTCCCTCAGTACAATTCGCAACATAATAACCAGACAGAAAAGACCACTTCGGCTCCACATAATCCTGATCACCCCTTGTGCCAGATATGTGACAAAATTGGACATATCGCTCTCAACTGCTGGTATCATTGCAACCTCAAATACTCTCCTTCAACCTCCACACCGCAAGCTCTCTTAACCCATCAACAGTCGTCACAATACAATGTTTGGGTTCTTGACTTGGGGGCTTACACACATTTCACACGTGATCCCCTCAAGAATTTAGCAACATGTTTCCTATCAAGGAAATAACTCAGTTTCTATTGAGAATGCACCTTGTCGATACAAAACTCTGGAAAATGCCTTCTTCCTCTTCCTGAATCGGCTCGTAAGTTATACCTTCATAAACTTCTGCATGTTCCCTCCTTACCTCTTAATTTAATTTCTATTTCTAAGCTTACTTCAGATAATAATGAATCTATTTCTTTTTATGCTAATGGGTTTGTCATTAAACATATGCTGGACAATCGCCCTCTTCTACATGGTCATCTCCAAAATGGTCTATATCAAGTCTCTTCTCCTCAGCTTACACCTACTACGGCCCCCCAAGCTGTGACGATGCCTATAGTTAACTGGCATGCTCTCATCTTGGACACCCAATTCCTCACATTATTCCTACTTTATTTTCTCAAATTCCCGCATTACATAAATTTCCATCTTCTTACATTTGTACTTCTTGTAACATGGCTAAAAGCCACAAAATGCCCCTTAATAAAAACATTTTCATCTCACATAAACCTTTCTATCTTTGCATTCTGATGTTTAGGGACCAGCACCCCATCAATCTTTTAATGGCTACAAGTATTATGTCATATTTATAGACGATTTTATTAGATTCTCCTGGTTATATCTTATGCACTCTAAATAGCAGATGTTTACTAAATTCAAAAATGCCTGTTCTTTAATAAAAAAAATAACTTCAACATATACCCTCAAAATTTCTGCTCAAATGGTAGAGGTGATTTCGCAAGTAATTTTTTTTTTAGAATTTTCTACTTGATCACGGCATCACACACCAACTCAACTGCCCTCATAATCCTGAACAAAATGGATAAGCTGAACATAAGCATCGACATCTTCTTGTTATAACCCACACTCTTCTACACACCTCTAATCTTCCTATCACCTTTTGGGCCGAGGAGCTATCCACTGCTAACTATTTGATTAATCGGCTGCCATCCAAATCCATTTCTTTCCGAACAGCATTCCAAAAACTTCAGGGCATCCTTCTAATTACACTCATCTTCCCACCTTCAGATGTCTTTGCTTCATGTGGCTTCAACCTTATGCACCAACCAAACTTTCTCCATGATCTCAAGCATGCATTTTTCTAGGATATTCATCATCTCACAAAGGCTATTGTTGCCTCAACATTCTCACAAACAAACTTCACATATCTCGGCATGTGATTTTTCATGAGCATTATTTTCATTACACAATTGTTTCATCAAACACATCTCAGCTCGTAGAGTTTCTCGATTACTTC